TTTTTACCTAATGTCCTTTTTCTGTTCCAAGATACCACAGGCCAGTTACTGGGCATGTCTTCTTAGGCTCCTCTTGGCTGCGACAGCTTCTCAGGCTATCCTTGTTTCTGATGATTTTGACAGTTTTGAGGAGAACTGTCGGGGATTTTGCAGAATTTTGCCCCTCTTCTAGAGTCTGCAGCTGCCTTTAAAAAAAAAGGGGGGGTACATACTTTTTTTTTCTTTTGTTTTAAAAGGACTAGAAAGTCAGTTAATTGGTTTGATAAAGTAAATACTGTACATTCTTTTTACTTAAAAGCAATCGCCTAAGTCCCAGCCCCTCTGCCCCCTCTGTCCCCCCCACCAGTGGCCCCGCCCAACCTCCCGTAGCCAGACGCTCAGCCCTGAGTCATCATTTCCTCTGGGCTTTTCTGGTTAGAAACGCTCTTTTGCAGCTTTCCTCCCCTGTGGCTGCTGTGGTGCTCCCAGCTCCCTTTCCTGCTGCATCTAAGTCTCTTAAACAGGACAGGGATGACTCGCTAACCCTGATGTTTTACCCAGAGGCCCCTGTCCTGCCCTGGTGGCCCAGCCTTGGCCATCACACAGTGGAGGTTCCAGCCTCGTCTGAGGCCTCACTCTCTCCTTGGCTGTCCCAGACCTCCCCTCCCAGGGAGTAGGAGCGGTGGGAATCCTCCCAAAAGATTCCTCCCCCCCACTGTCCCACACACTGCTCTGAAGCCACAGGGGGCCCGAGGGGAGTTTACAGGGTTCCACCTGACCCCCCACCCACGATGGGCTATGTATGGATCAGAGTGTGACTTCTTGCTCGTCTAGGTGCTCCCTGAGCCAAGCGCCAGGCCATATGCGATCGCCTCAGTCGCCTGTCTCAGATGCGAGGGTTGGATCAGACCTTCCTAAGGCCCCACTACTTCTGACGGTCTGTGACTCCAAACTACGCCCCCTTCCAGCGGCTGGCCCTCGCCCCCTGCATCCCCGCACCCTGAGCCTCAGCTCGTGTTTGGGGGCCGCAGGGCTCAGGACCCTTGCTCAGGTCATCCTCCAGCTTTCATTGTGTCGGGCCCACCCTCAGTATGTTTTTCTCCTGCATTTTGCTGCCCCAGCCACAGGGAGCCGGTTTTCCAGGAAGTCAGGGAAATAGATGCTCTCCCGCTGTCCCTTCAGGAAGTAAGGAAGGAGAGTTCTAGTAGCAGTAATGTCACACAGAGGCCTCACAGGCAGGGCCAGGCTCCCCCTGATTAAGGGAGGAAAGGTGGAAGGGCGTGAATTTGACTGTGCCTGGCAGGAAGGCACCATGTCTGCTGGACTCCTGGCAGTTGAAAACTGATACCAGGTAGTGACCTGGGGACCATGGCCACAGGGAATGGGGCACAACGATGAAACCTGCACCAGGTGCCTTCCTCCTGGTGCAGGGCGCAGCTGAGGACAGAGTGGGGGCTCCGCCGCCTGGTGGGACTCCCTTCTGAGTCCAGTCGTCACCCAAGTTCAGTGTGAGAATGTGAACCTCAGGCCTTCCCTCCCTGCGTCCCGTCTCCCTTTCGGGCCCCCCTCCAGCAGGAGCAGCAGGGGGACCAGAAGGGGAAGGGGACACATGGTCTGCGTCATTAGCTCTTGCTCCCAGTTGTGTGTGCAGTCCACAGAAGGAGGCTGAACTGTTAACCAGGGTGGGATGTGCGCTGAGTGGAGCGTCTCCCCTCCACAGCCACTGACATAAATGGGACGTGAATTCCGGTTTGGGGGTGCCCTATTCGGGGCTGCTGCCAGGCCCTGAAACAGTCGCAGAAGCGACAGCCTCCGAATGACTCATCGGCCACTGCCTCACATGCCCCAGCTCCTGGCAAGGTGTGCGCTGCCTCTAGAAAAGAGTCACCCCACCAGCTCCCTAAATGGGCTCCTCAGGGCTTCCGTCCCCTCCCTCCGTTCTGAAGCTAAGACTCCGGTGGCCAGCCTCCCGCCCTGGGCTGTGTGGGCCATGGAGATATGTGGTGCCTGTCGGGATGTCTGTCGCGTCTGCTGGAGACTGTCAAATACCAGTGTCTCGGGAAGGGTCACATGTAGCCTGAAGCAGCCTGAATACCTTGGTCCAGTTGTCATTTCTCTAGCTGTCACCACGGAAAGCAAAGGAACCAACCCCCAAAAAATGAGGTGTGGGACATGCAAGGCTTGAGACAGAGCAGGGTTTCTGACCTTGGGACTGTTGAATTACCTCTGGGCCGGGTAATTCCTTGCGGTTGGGGGACGTTCAGCCACATTCCTGGCCGCCACCCCTCCCCAAGCACAACAAGCACAAAGGTCTCAGATGTTGCCCCGAGTCCCCAGAGCAAAAATGCGCAGTGGAAAATCACTGGCAGAACGAGGGGAGTGAAAGGTGGATATGCAGACATTAGGTCCTGTGAGGAGGGCAGAGGGTGGTCACTGGGGCACAGTGCCCGTGCGTGGCAGGACCTGGTGAAGGGGGTGGGGGTGGCCAGTGAAAGGGATCCCCCATGCGCAGGGGCAGGGGCAGGGGTAACTGGTAGGCGAGCTGCTGAGACCGACTTCACTCAAGTCCCGTGGCTTCACCGAGCCAGCCAGTTAGGAGTCCATGTGATAGAAAAGGAGAAAACAGCACTGAATGTGCAGCCCAGGCACATTGCTGGGACGTCTGACCTTGTGGGAGAGGCGCTGAACCCTCCCACCCGGAGATGCTGCAGCAAAGGAGGAGGTGGGGCCTCCCTGCTCTCGAGGGCGCTGCCCCTGGCTGGCTGTCTCATCTCTTACCAGACCAGGCATGTGGAGCGCACCTCAGGTCCTGGGGTGCCCTGGGGACTGCAGAGTAGGGGGGCGTCCGGGTGTCTTGGCACAGCATCCTGACACTGGCATCTCCCCATGTGGGCTCCAGTCTCTTGCTGGCAACCCCGAGAGGCAGCGTCTGTCAGTTAGCATGTGCAGCCTATGTCCCTGGCCAGGCACAGATTCCAGGAAGGTCCCTGTCTCATTGCACCCCCAAAATCAGTGGCTTAAAACAGTAGTTGTGTTCTCATTCGCTCTCATGGCTCTAAAGGATGACTGGGCTCAGCTGGGTGACTCAGGGTCTCTCATGCAGTCAGACGGACCCAGTGCTGGGGTCACCTGAAAGCCCCTCACCCATATGTCTGGTGTCTGAGCTACAGAACGGACCCGCTGGGGCTCCGGGGTCTCTCTGCCTCTTGTGTGGTCTCTTCCAAGAGGCTTTAAGGTAGATGAACCTCTTACATAATGGCATGTCCTGAGAGAGCCTGGGAAGCTGTCTCACCTTTTATGACCCAGCCTAGGGAGTCACAGAGCTTCTTCTGCCATACCCTAGTCACTGAGACAGGTGGAGGCCGCCCAAAGAAGTTCAAGGGGAGGGACACAGATTCCAGCTCCAGGTGAGGGAGTGGCAAGGTTCTAGAAGAGCATATGAAACTAGCAACATGGTGGCCGCCATTTTGGAAGATGGCACGGTTCTCCATATTCGTTCCCTCTGAATAATGGCCTCACTCTTTACCAGTGATGACTGGAGGCCGCTCAGACACTGGCCAGGCACGGGTGTGCGGGTGTGTTCTCTGGGGCCTCCCAGTACGTAGGGCAGAGGGACCCTCAGTTGGTTGGGCCATCTGTGCCGGCGTGAAGATTCTTACCCACCAAGCATTCCTGAGACACCCCGCCAGGCCCAGGAGCCCGGCTTCCTTTCTGCCAGTTCAGAGGGTGCCTACGAAAGGAAGAGCAGTGGAGGAGGTTGGGACTTCAGGCAGAAGAAAGTAAAAGAAAAACACAGGGCTTTCTCTACACAAGACTCTTGCCTCTGCCTCCTCTCCCCACACCCATCCAATCCTTTCCGTTCTGGGCCTCTCAGACCTCGCCAAGCATCCTTCTCCCCATACCCCCATCACGCCAGGGCAGGCCTTAATTCTCACCTGGAGTCCTGCTCTGGGTGCCAGCCTGTCTCCAGTTCAGTCTGGATATTACCACCAGCAGCCCGGCCTCAGAGAGGTGACAGCCCAGCAGTGGAAACAGACAGCTAAACGGACAAACTGAATACAAGTATTGCTTATGCTATAGTAGAGGTGAGCACCACTGGAGAACAGCAAGGGGTTAAGAGGGACCCCCCAAAGGCTGGGACTGAGTCCCCAGGATGACTAAGGAGAGAGATGGGGAGAAGGTGTCCTGGGCAGAGGGGCCAGGGATCAGGGTGTGCTCTTCCCCAGCAGGGAGTGGCTCATTCTGGAAAGTGCAAGTATTTTATTGTGCCTGAAGGGTCTGGCGCAGAAGGGGAAAGGGTGAGAAGAAACCTTAGCGTAAATTACCTTGGGGGGCCACTTCAGAGTCCTAAACTGGAGGAAGTCTAACCTGATCTCTCCAGCATCGACCCTCCCATGCACCTAGCACTCCCCACCTCACCTCTCCCCTGCTCCCGGCCCCTCCTGCGCTGTGCCACACCCCTACGCCTTTTGGGTCTCTGGCCCTGCATGTGCTGCCCACCCCACCTCCACCCTGCTCCTCAGGACCAGTCCATGCTCCCCTCCTCTGAGCCTCCCCACCCACCGCACTTCTCCCACAGCCCGTCTGCCCTATTTGGACTTGAAGCCTGGTGCTCACCGCCATGTTCTGTGATCATTCGTTTCCACGTCGGTCCCCATGCTGGCTCGTGAGGGCCAGTCTTCTGTAGCCCTAGACCAGGCCTGGCACAGAGGGATGAGAGGACAAGCTATGAGCTGGAGACAAGACGGGTGGAAGAAGAGACACACAGATGCCAGGGTCAGCGCAAGGACAGGCGCTCAGAGGCCTTCACGGGCGGCATGGGAAGTCAGGCCATAGGAGGGAAGAGAAGCAACAGTGAGGGGTGCCGAGGCCAGAGACGGCTTCCAAGTGGGGGGCGTGCCTTGGGCTTCGAGCTCTGTTTCTCCAAGACAAGGAGCTTCCTCAACCTGTGTTTTTGAAATATGTGCTTGTGAGGCCATATGTGTGTGCATGTGCACACGCGTGGGTTTTACTTCATGGAGCATGTGCTCCACGGGGACACGGTCCCTGCTCTCCCAGAGCTTGGACTGTCAACAGGCCACTGTGCTCAAGTGGCGATAGCCGGACAGGTGGGATGGAAGCCCAGTATGTCCTGGGTTCTCTGCTTCACTGTCCTGTCTGTGGAGCAGACAGTGACAGTGGGCGGGAAAGGAGCAGACATACAACAAATATTATGCTCCCGTCTCTGAAGAACTCCGAGCAGCCACACATAGTCGTAAGCCAGCCACACCCCCCTCACTCCCCGCAATGGGCCCCAGCTGACCTACAGAGCTGACCTTCAGGACATGGACACAGGGACCCAGGCAGCACAACTCTGGAAATTTACTGGCATGGCTGTGTATGAATTTATCTTTTCAGAAGACGGCTCTGGAGCTTAAAGGAGCCATTCATGAGGTCTGCTGGGGAGTGCCGCGTCCTCAGAGGGGGTCGAGCAGGCCTGAGTGGGTTCCTGTGCAGGGAAGGCTGTGTGTGCCTGGTATGCTTATGCAGGAGCCAGGAGGTGGGTGAGGCCGGCTGGAGACAGTGACACCTTTTCGCAAGGTAGGCCCAGGTTGCCTGATTCCAAAGGGTGACGCAGCTGTGCTTAGTGACCCCAAAACCCAACTGGAACCTCCTTTTCCCAAACAAATTAGAAGGGGAGGGGGAGGTTTGGACTTGGAGGAGAATCCCTGGGGGCCCATGAGCAAGACTGACTTAAGTGACCATGGGTGGGCCAGAGAGAACCTCACTAAATAGTCATTAAACAAATGAATCAATTAATGCGTGAATACTCTTCTGCCATAGGCACAAAAGCAGTAAAAATTCAGTGCAAAAACCCATAGCCAAGGCATGCTGGGAGAGAAAGTGTTTATCAAGCTGTGGAGCAGAAGGTGGTTTGGCTCTTAAAGGACCCTCTTGCCTGGTGTTATGTGAGTGGACCAAGGAAAGAGGAGACTACAAAGCCAGCCTCACCCCAGGGAGTGGTGGCTCTCAGGCCGCCCAATCCAGCACTGAGGCGGGAATGTCAACAGCCCCCAGTGAGGTTCCCTTAGGCCTTGGGGGGAAGGGGGACCAGCACTGCAGTGGTCACTCCTGAGTTTGGAGTAAACTCCTTTGTACCTACAACTTCATCAGTACTCCACCTTTACCTGTATTTACTCATCATTTGGACACACACTCCCCTTCCTTTCCAAGTGTTTGCTGAGGCTCAGGATGATGAGACAGGCCCCACATGCACTCGGCAGGTCACAGTCCTCCCCCCCTCCTCATTCCCACCTTGAGGGGACACACCCCTCCCACCCCTGCCATGATGAGCTGTCACCTTTTCCTCTTCGGGACAGGAAAGCCAAAGGTGGCCCATGTGACCCAGAACTCATCCTCAGTCCAGACCACCTCTTCCGGCTCTCAGGTGTTTTCCACTGTAAAATGAGAAAATAAAAACAGGCAGCACTTAGAGACACTGTTCTAAGTGCTTTAGGTATTTTCTCCCATTTAATTCTCAACTCCGTGATGCATTTTACTATTTAAACCCATTAAGGGCCGGCTGAGTGGCTCAGTTGGTTAAGAGCTCGCTCAAGAGTTTGAGCTCTGAGCAACAGCAGTTCGAGTCAGCCCGAGCTGAGCAGCCGCTGAGCTGCTAACAGGTGGCAGGATGGCTCAGCTAAAAAAAAAAAAAAAAAAACAACAACAACCCATTTTATATGGGAGGAAGCTGAGGCACAGTGAAAGTAGGTTGCCCTGCGTCAGAGTCAGGAATTGAACTCGGGGCTCCGGCTCCAGTGTTTCTTCACGTTTTGACTCATCCTGAGAAAAATGCATGTACTCACATACATGCAAAATTAATGCAAAATATTTGGGATTCCAGAACTCTGAAACCCATTCATGGACACCCCCCTTCCCTCCCAGTGTCCCTTTTTCATCTGATCTTAAAAACCCTCTGAAGATATGTGAGTGTTGTCTCCCTTCCACAGCTGAGAAAACATGGGTCAGAGACGTTACGGAGTGTACCCAAGTTCACACTGTAAGTGGTGGGATCAGGATTCCAATCCAGGTTTTCTAACCACGGGCTCATCCCCACCCGCCTCTGGCTGGGCCTCCCAGGTCTATCCAGGAGGTCGTTTCTCTCTCCTCCCTTCTGGTTTGGGGATGTCCCAAAGGCCCAACATGGCTGCCGGCTGCCCAGCAAAGTCCACAGCACCCTGCAGCCTGCTCAGCGAGCGAGCACACCAGCCCCGGGCTTTCTCAGGACCCCCATCCACCAGGCTGGCACTCCCTGTGGGAGGGGGCCCTGCCTGCGATTTGCTGGCCTCCTCCCAGCTCAGTGCCCGCAGAGAGAGCTCCTGGACAATGTAGAAGGGTGGGCACATGGCCACGGGGAGGAGAGTGTACAGAAGGGCCACTCCCAGGGGCTGGAGGGAGGACTACGCCCAGACAAAGGGGGCTGACAGAGCAGCCAGGAGCCCAGACTGGCTGAGGAACTGAGAGAGGGTGGGGTAGGCGCTGGTGCCCAGAGGCAAAAGGGTGTATGGGAAGGTGACAGAATGGAGCGGGAAGCAGGATGTGGAACCAGTGAGGGCAGTTCTTCGAGGGAACGGGCCATGAACTGGCCATTACCCAGCCCTGAAAGCAGCCTCCAGTGAGAGCCTCCAGTGAGACACGCCTTTTACAAGATCCAGAGGTCCCGATGGGAATGCAAGGCCCGTCAGTGTCACCTAAGTAAAGATAAAGGGGCCCGTCTGGCTTGAGGCCCTGGACCCCCAACCCCTGGGTGATTTTCTTTCAATCTCACTGGCTTTCTACCTGCCCCCACCCCAGCTCAAGACTCCTAGAACCCTACCTGTAATTATTGAAAAGCTGAGACGTCTCCACACCTGACCTGGTTAGCTTTGCATGTCCCAAAATTACTTGACCATAGAACTCATTTCTCAAGAAATATCTGCAAACTTCACGCGGAGCCAGTTTCCACAGAGCACACTTTGGTGGGGACTCGGGGTCAAGTGAATTGATCGTTCTTATGGAATCTAGACCAATTATTATGGGAAACCTCTACCAAAAAAATAATTTTAATTTAGAATAGCTGTTATTAAGCTATGTTTTTAACTATAAGTAATACAGAACCATTACCGAGGGCAATGATGTAGGGTTTATCGTAATAAAAACCACAATCTAAGCACACAGGACACGTGTTACCCTTCTGTATAACAAAGCATCTAAAAATAACTTCAGATTGTGACGCTCTGAGCTACAAAAGGAGCCAGTACAATGTTCTTCCTTTTGTCTTTTTTCCTCTTTTTCATCTTTCCCCATTTTTGCTTTTTTGGCATATCACACACATGCCTTGCTTTGGTTTACTTAACACATCGTGGAGATCACTGCATATTATGAGAGTATCTTTGTTCCTTTTTGTGGCTGCCTAGAATTGCACTGTCCAGGGGGATTCGTTTCGCCTGTCCTCTGTGGGTGGATATTTAGTTTGTTTTCAGTCCCCTGCGGCAGCCAGTGCTGCAGGAAGAAACCTTACGCATTCATCATTTGCCCCTGTGCGTATGTCTGTAGGGCAGGTTACCGGATAGGGAATCACTGGGGCACATAATGCCATCATCAAGTTGCGTTTGGCGGGCCTGCACCCATCTCTGACGGGTAGAGGAGTGTTTAACCCCCCACAGCCTCTCCAGGCGACCACGCGTTTTGATCTTTATAGTCTGAAAGGTGAAAAATGACATCCTAGTGTAGTCACTGCTTTGTATTTCTTTTCTGATAAGTGAGGGTGAGCACCTTTTAATGCATCTGAGACATGAATTTTTCCTTTTTCCATTAACTCTGCTTATGTCTTTGCCCCTTTTTCTACTTAGCTATCATTTTCTTCTGTTGATATATGAGAAAGGTTTATATATAACTTTTGGGCTGGGACCTAAATAACAGGTATTTTTCCTTGTGATTTTTCTGAGTTTGACTTATCATTTTTTTTAACACGTCAACTTTTTTTTTTACATTCATGTAGTTAAATTTATCATTTTTAAATTGTATGTCTTCCAGGTTACAATTCAATAGCCTAACAACACTGTGAGAGTATAATAGAATTCTCCCATTTTCTCTTCTAGAATGTTTATGGATTTATAGAAAGAACTATATTTATAATGTTATAATGTAAATATTGGAAAATATAAAATATATGATATAAATACACAAATAAATAATACAAATGGCTACATTTATCATATTTATACGTGACTATAAATAAAATATTAAATACATATTTAAGATATATAATGTTAAATATTTATATATAGATACTATTCCATTTAGAATTTATCCCTGTGACAAGATGAGCTATAAGTTGTTTTTTTCTAGATGGCTACTCAGCTGTTGCAATTCCATTTGTGAATAATTTATTTTTACTAAATTCCTATGTTTGAAACTGTTTCTGGACTTTCTCTTCTGTGCCACTTATCTCTGTAAACTCATACTCAAGTTCTGTATTATTTTAGTCATTAGAGCTTTATATGTGTTTTTAATATCTGATAGAGCTAAACTCCCTTCCCTTTTAGATTTTTTTTCTGGCTTTTCTTCACATTTAGTTTTCCTTTATTTATAAACTTTAGAATCAGCTAAGTTCCAAATTAAAGAGAAAAAAATCCTCTTGCTATTTTTATTGGGATTACATACATTTAAAGACTAACTTAAGAGGAAGTGGCATTTTTATGACGGCTCTTTCTAGCCAAGAATACGAGCCACTTTTTTTTTTTTTTAAGATTTTTTTTATTGGGGAATTGGGGTAAGGGAACAGACAAGTTGCTATCCTTTTGTTCTTCAGTCTAGTTGTGGAAGACATCGCTTCACTGGCCCATGTTGGTATTATCATTGCGGTCTTCCCGGGTGAGGCAGTCGCTCACCGGCCATTGGATGGCCGCTCATGGCGGCTCACAGCAGCTCACGAAAGTGCATGCCAGCTGCCAACCAGCTTCACTGCAGCCTACGCCGTCGCCGGCGACTCACGGCAACCCAGCTCCAGGTTGAACTATCGTTCACCATCTTAGCTCTCATATATGGGATCCGAACCCGGGCCCTGCTGCTCAGAGCTGACATCCCAAGCCAACTCCTAACCAACGCGAAACTCGGCCGGCCCACGAGCCACTTTTTAAATGGGGTAAATGATTGCCCAGCCTCTCCAGGCAGGAGGGTGCCCTTGGAGTTAGTTTATAGGGGTGAATGGCTGATGGACAGATCACACAAGTCAGAGAAGCCCTAAACACTGCTGGAGAGAAGTGGCTTCTGTCAGAAGCCTCCTGTAATCAAATGAGGAACTGTAACCAAATCCCTCCCAGAAGAGGATCCTGATCTATGAGTCAGGGGCAGTTGTCAGGATTCTAGAGCTGGCAGTGGGTCACATACAGATGCCACCTTGAAGGAGCAGTGCCTTGCAGTCAGGGGACACATCTCCAGCTAAGCTCACAGAGGAGCCAGGGAAGAAATAGCCTAACTTCGCTTTCCTCCCTTCCTCTTATGTCCAAGTGCTCCCCACCAGCCAAACTCCACCAGCAGCCAGAGGCCCTGGGAGCCCATGACTTCATCCACTGAGGTCAGCCCTGGGACAGAGAGAAGGGTGTAGACCAGACTTGGAGAGGCGGCCAGGAGGTATTCGGTACTCACCTCCAGCTCATAGGCACTCAGGTCCCCAAGATAATGGCTCTGAGATAAATGGAGTAAATATAGATTAGAAGATTATCACCAGGTAATCAATTCCAAAAGGACTTTATACTTGGGCAGGTGGGCTAACAACCTATAACAATTGGAAAACCTACCGGAGAGGAAGGCAGGAAAGTCAGGGTATGCTGTTCAGTGACAGTCCCTCGAGTGGTCTGGTGGCCATCCTGCACTCACCTCTGCCAAAATTTCTTCTTGTGTGACTGAAGGAAAAAAAAAAAAAAAAAAAAAAAAATTTGTTAAAGTCCAGGGTCTCTTATATAATTTAAAACTACACACACCCAGATCTTTCCTTTTCAAGTGCCACCCACATGGCAACATTCCAGGAGAGGCCGTGGCCACTGGAAAGCATGTTCTGGGGCTTTCCTGGAGCTCAAACCAGTTAGAACCACAGCGGTTTGTAGCATGAGCGTTACACTATCACCTGGGCTGGCCTGTACTAGCTGGCCTGGTTTCATCCACACCAAAAAGGCTGTGCTATGAGGGGACTCTCGTGACCTCTCCAGCCAGGTCACCTGTACCAGGAGCGAGTCACTGCAGGATTTTCCAGAGGACAGGGTTTTCATAAATCATTTTCAAGGTGGGTAGATTCAGACCTCGACAGGGAGAACAGAGAATCTGAACCCTCAGAGGGACTGGAAGAGGAGACAAGTGATGAGGTTGTGTGACAGGGCTCCACATGGGGAGAGGACCCTCATGCGGCCACAGCCATCCAGGCAGAGTGAGCAGGAAGTTGGCGAGAAAACACTGTATGCCCCAGAGGCCAGAACATAATCGAGTCACCTCTCAAGGACAAAAGTCCCCAAGACAATATCCTGTGAATTAGGTGAATTAGAAATTAACACCCGTTTGCAGAGGAGACTGTTTAGGTGAGCTGTTAAAAGCGTGTGGTTTGCCCGGTTGAAAGCTTCAGGACTCTATTCTAACATGGTCCAAAACAACTCTCCCAACAAGACCACAGCAAGGAATCATAGACGAAGCCGCACCAAATTCACAGAAAACCAGTTGAAAATCTTCATGAAAGCATTCAATCAAAAACCTTTCCCCGGTTATGCTACCAAACAAAAGCTTGCTTTAGAAGTCAACACTGAAGAGTCTAGAATCCAGATTTGGTTTCAGAATTGAAGAGCTAGACACCGAGTTCAGAAAAGATCAGAACCTAAGGACTTAGAAGCAAGCCAAGACCAAGATCACCATGAAGAGAAAATCCATGATAAGATAGACGGTGTCGGACCAGCTACACTTCCTCCCAGTTGCACACCCTCATCACAGCATCTACAAACAACCCTTATACAGGGATTGATTCCAGAGAGCAACTTGCTAAGAAAATTGGGGTTCCAGAGTCAAGAGTCCAAATTTGGTTTCAAAATCGAAGATCTGGATTCCATATCCAGAAAAAAAAGAGAATTTGATGAGCCCTTAGAACAGAAACAAGACCAGGAACAAAATCTCTGAGACAAGGGAGCTCCCGGTACAGAAACTATACCAAATGGCACCAACCTCACCAGCAAGTGTCTTATTTCTCTGAAGCCAGAACAGCGTGAACCAGGAGATAAATTCAGTGTATCTGATGTCATCAGCCTAGGCTCCAAATCTCCCTCATCCTGGGAACATGCCCCTCTAAATAAACCTGCAGCTTCTCGAGAGGCGGAGCCTTCTGCAAATGGTAAACAGAATTTCAGGAGGTACCACACAGCCCTACCAATAGAGCCTGGCTCCACAGTTCAGCAAAGAAAATGAAAATAAACTTATTCATATAAAAAAAAGGGGGAGTCAGGAGGCAGCCGGTTAGCTCAGGTGGTTAGAGCTCAGGCTCATAACACCAAGTTTGCCAGTTTGATTCCCACATGGGCCACTGAGCTGCGCCCTCCACAACTAGATTGAAGACAACTACTTGACTTGACTTGGAGCTGATGATTCCTGGAAAAACATACTGCTTCCCAATAAAATCTCTTTAAAAAATAAAAAATAAAAATGACACTTAAAAAAAAAAAGGAAGCATGTACTTTGTTCAGACATACCTGATGGCCACTCATTACTGGGACCTTGGGATAAGCCACCAAACCTCCTTGAACCTCAGATTCCTCAACTATGACAGAGGGTGATACAAGTACCTACCTCCCTCGAATTCTTTTGTGACAATGAAATGAGATAACTCGATGATATGAGGAAAGCATTCAGCACGAGGCCAGGCACACAAGTCTCCACGAATGTAAACTATTACAATCATTGTTCAGATCTCGTTACTGAGAAAGCTTTTGTGAGCAGAGAATAAATAAATCAAGACATAGACTGTGTCAGGGAACTCCCCAACTTAGTTAAAAATGTTTTGCTGCTTGGGGTTAGAGAGAAAGGTGAGGAATCAGAAATCTAAAATAGAATTTCCAATGCTTCCACCTTATTAGAAATCAAGATGTTTTTCTAATGGCCTCTACGTCTCCCTGAACGCCAGAATGTGGAGCAGAGCGCTGATGAAAAAACTTTTTTAATCTTTGCCTGCAAAACCCACCTACCTCTTGTGTCCTCTTGTTTTTGCTGGGATCTTAGTGCCATGGTCTTGGCTGTGAAATTACAGGCCCTCCTTCTGTTGCCTTAGTGCATTACATCACATTGAGTAGGTGACATGTTTTAATATTTCGTGAGCCAATGGATATTAGGGTATTAAAATACAATCTAGGGGGCAGCCGGGTGGCTCAGTTGGTTAGAGCACGTGCTCTTAACAACAAGGTTGCCAGTTCGACTCCCACATGGGATGGTGGGCTGCACCCCCCCAAACCTAGATTGAAAATGGCAACTGGACTTGGATCTGAGCTGCACCTTCCATAGCTAAGGCTGAAGGACAAAAACTTGACTTGGAGCTAATGGGTCCTGGAAAAAACATTGTTCCCTGAAAAAAAACACTGTTTCTCAGTAAAGTTAAAAAAAAAAAAAAAAGGATTTCAGAAAGCTACCAGTTTGTTTCCCCTGAGTTTTAAATCGGAATTGCAGTTGGGTTCTAGTGGGGTCTTCCCCTCGTTAAAGGAATCAGATACTCTTAACCAGAAGAAATCTCTAGCAAGGTATGGTTTTTTAAATGAAACCCAGCATTTGGATTTAGGGGATTTGCATGTGAGACCTGACAATCATCTGTAGTATACAGGCTCCGTGAGCTTCAATTTCTTCATCCCGAAAAAGTGATAATTATAAGGATAATCATCTCATAAGATTTCTGTGAAGATCAAATGAAATTTGTAAACTGCCAAGTATTATACAAAATGCTAGTTACTCATTAGGTTTTTTTAATTCCTGCTGGTGGAAAAAGCACAGACTACATGTCAAGAGTCCAGGTTCTGCTCCCTGCTCTCCCCCTTCCAGGACCTCAACCAAGTAACTTAATCTCTGAATGCCACAGTTTCGTCATCCAGGGAACTTTCTAGAGATTACGAATCCTTTCAGAGGAAACAAATTAGATCGGAAGAGGAAGACATGAAGAAAGCAGTCCTCTCCAAAGGGGAGGAGGAAGCAAGCCCTCATCCCACCTGGGCGATGAGGAGAAACACTTCTGAGACATGAAGGAAGAAAACTGGAAGCCACGAAGCATGGCCACTGATTTCTGGGACGTGGCCAGAGCGTCCAGGTCTGGTGGTAAATGGTAATCTGAGATAGGTGTGCAGTCAGCACTAACCTAGATGTCTCATGTTCCACACAACGAAACAAAACAAAACAAAACAAAACAGAACAAAACAGCACCACTACCCGAAGCCAATCCTTCATACATGCAGTCATTGTTCCATGACTAGCAGCACAGTCAGCTGTGACCTCCAACACTACAAAAGCAATTGACCCATCCTGCAGACACACACGTGCACAGTGGAAAAGCATGGAGTCAGGGAGGGTGTTAAGGTGGCCTCCCCGGAGTCAGGCAGAGCCAGCAGCCCTTCTGAGCATGCTCAGGGACTTGATGGGGGACCCTCAGGAACTGTGGGAGTGACTGGCTTCAAGACTCCTGCCACTGGAATCCCTTCCCACGGACCCACTTTATCCACAAGTCTTCCTGCCCCCACGTGTTGACAGACCCAAAGCCAAGTATTTTGCAAGATTCCTTGAAGACCTCAAATTAGCTCAAAAACAAGTAAGAGTCACAGGCGTCTCCAGGCCCCACAGGAGGGCTGAGGCCATGAGAAGCCCTGAGGTGAGAGGAAGAGGAGTGGGTTGAAGAGGAGGATCTCGGGGCCCCGGGAATAACTGCCACGTGGTGAATTCGTCCTCCAGGATGGACAGTGTGATAAGGTTGAAGTGGGAGAGTGGTGGATGCTTAGAATAGGCCTGAGGTCACCTGTTTTATTGATCATCTGGTCCATGCCAGGTGGCATGTGGCATCAGGTGGGGGAAAGCCCCTCTAAGGAGATTTCCATCCCCATCAATCAGGGGCTCCTTGGTTCCTTCTCCATGGCCAGAGGTGAAAACTCTGCCAAATTTCTCTGCAAACTGTTTATTCTCAACATATCAAAAAGTCTAGTTTGGTGTACACAGAGTCCAAGTTGACCGAAAAGACTGTCTCAGAGATCTGACAGGCAGAAATACCATGCCTTTTAAACTTTTACTTGTAGCTGTTTAACTGTTGGCAGTGCATATAAGCCCCTAAGCCTTGTTATCTCAGCTTTAACATGGAGATGGTCAGAGTACCATCCTCCTAGAGCTGTTGTGAGGAATAAAGGAGATAATGGAAACTGCAGCTCTTAGAACAGTGGCTGGCAGATAGGAAGGTCTCAGTAGATAATGGCTATTGCCCAAGTTCCCCTAGCAGTCTAGTAGCAGGACCTTGTAGCCCTGCGTGATGGGCAAGGAAAGGGGGAGTGATCCACTCATGGAACAGAAAAGTCCAAGGTAGGGCTGGCTTCAGGCATGGCTTGATCCAGGAACTCAAGTGATGCCACCAGGACCTGGTTTTTCTCTCTCCACCTCTTGGCCCCTCTTCCTCCAAGTTGGCTCCATTCTCAGACAGGATGCCCCCTCCCACAGAAGCAAGATGGCTTTAGCTGCTGCAGACCACACGTCATGTCAGAGTCAATGCAGTAGAAGAGGCCACCTGTCCACTCTTCCCAAAGCCACAGTAACAGTCTCACTTCACCTCATTGGCTCTGGCTGGGTCACAGCACCTTCCCTGAGCCAACCACTGAAGCCAAGAGACTGCTATGCGTAGATTGCCACAGGCTGACCCCTGGAATTGTACCAGGCCTGGGCCCAGGCTGTGAGGACACAGTCCAGCGATCACAGAGTTCTGGATCTTTCAGAGAATGAATTCCCCATTGCCATCCATTGTCACACCATTTCCCCCTCAGCATTCCCCTCAAAGCATCACCCTCCTACCGGCTCCTCACACGAGGACCACCTGAAACATGGCTCCGTCTGTGCACAGCTTATCTTAGGCTTCAAGCTCCCAGAGGTGAGGGCAAGACCCGTAACACTGGGACCCCTCTGATGAGAGTTCCTTGCACTGTGTTCACAGGTGACTGCTGGCTGCTGGCAGCCATCGCCTCCCTCACCTTGAATGAAGAAATCCTGGCTCGCGTCGTCCCCGTAAACCAGAGCTTCCAGGAAAACTATGCAGGGATCTTCCACTTCCAGGTAACTAAGTAGTTGGCACGAACTTTTCTTCAACAGGTCCTAGGGGCTTGGAGCAGGTCGTGGGGGCTAGATCCACTGGCTTGGCCCCATCAGACCTCAGAGTTTGCAGACGCCTATGACCAGTGCTGTTCTACGAAGGACACTGAGAGACAGCAGGAAGCTCCCTGGCCTGCCCCTGTGAGCGTGTCCAAGGGGGACCTCTTGGGACAAGCAAGGAGGAGGGTAGAACAGGGTGCTCAGTTTCCAAGTTTAAAAAAAAAAAGTATCTTTTGAGGCCTGAGACTAAATGTTAAGGAACTACTCACTCTCCTTTTGTGCTGGTAAATGAGAAATCGTATTTTTAAAAGCGTAAGGTGCAAGGCAGAATGCTGGAGAGGTGGGCGTGGGTTTGGAGGAAAGGACACACCTCTGTCCTTGGTTTCTCAGTGAGGGGTTTAGAAGCAGCATCTCCTCCCAGGAAGAGCTCGAAAGCTATGCCAAGCACTTCATGCTCAGCTGACCCTGGGCGCCCCCTCTTCCACCACAAATGGTTCTGTAGGGAAAAAAGGCAGGAGGAAGCCAGATACCGCTGAGGCTCAGGGTCCCCGTGCTGCCACTGCTCCTCCTCCAGCTTACCCCATGCCACCCCCTCCCCTCCCCTTGTCCCCCAGTTCTGGCAGTACGGAGAGTGGGTGGAGGTGGTCGTGGACGACAGGCTGCCCACCAAGGACGGGGAGCTGCTGTTCGTGCATTCGGCAGAGGGGAGTGAGTTCTGGAGCGCCCTGCTGGAGAAGGCGTATGCCAAGTAAGTGACCATGTGGACAGCCTGTCCCCAGCTGTCCTGGATGATTAAAACAAACAGGATCTAGCCAAGGATGACTTTGAGTAGATTTGTTCTGTAGAAGCTCTACTTTGGCCAAAATTGGGCTCTAAATTCAAGGAGAGAACACAGGCAGGGTGCCCGGCCTCATCACACACTGACAAATGACCAGTTTTGCCAGTTTTAACCAAATGCACAGGAACAAAGTCTGATACTGAGTGTGCTGGCCTTGAGAAGGACCTCTACTCTACTGCCTTGGCAGATCGTGTTACATTTTTGTCAGCTAAATACAGCAACGAGTTTTTGCCAGTGGGCAAAACCATCGATGGCTGGGGTATGAAGATTATGGAAATTTGCCCAGAATATATGGCATCTCTGGTTAGAAATTGCTTTCCGTTCTGCTCCCGGCTGTGTCCCATCTACCCAGCCCAGGGTCCAGTTGTCCAGCACTCAACACTGCCCATTCTCAATGGTAAGGCCCACGTCAGCCCCCCTCCTGAATGGCCTCATCCTGGCCATGCTGCCTGGGCTCCGTCCACTCAAGTGACTGGCTCTAAGGCATCAGGGATTTCTCTTCTTTACAGCCCCTGCCAGGGCAGAGGGCCAGCTATGAGAATCTGGGGCCTGAGAGGGGCTTCTAAGTCACATGCTCAAATAGTAGAGTTAGAGAAGCCACAGGACACTCACATGGGCAGTCAGGAGCAATACCACCCCACACTCTCCCACCCCCTTAGTGCCTACTGCTCAGGGCAACTGCTCTACTTATTGAATTGTTGTCTTTTTTTGAAGCTATAAATGCCAAATAGCTAATTGGTAGATCCCCCTTTTCCTATAACACTGTAAGAAGACTCCCTAAGGGAAGTTGGGCCAGATAATCACCTAGGGCCTTCCAACTCTCAGGTTCTGTGAGATTTTCAAAACCTTTACAAAGTGCCATAGAAATGGTAACTGTGGAATCATAACTTGCCCTCATGGGCACCCTGAGTTGGAGACAAAGGCAGGAAAATCTGAGTAGAGGGTACCTGGAGCATCTGACAAAGGAGGTATCGGGAAGGGGACACTGAGAGGCCATGTCAGCACCAGATGGCAGCAGCACCCCTTCCTCTCCTGCAGGGTCAATGGGTGCTATGAAGCTCTCTCCGGGGGCGCCACCACCGAGGGCTTTGAGGACTTCACCGGAGGCATCGCTGAGTGGTATGAGTTGAGGAAAGCCCCATCGAACCTGTTCAAGATCATCCAGAAGGCTCTGCAGAAAGGCTCTCTCCTGGGCTGCTCCATTGATGTAAGTCCAGCCTCCCTCCCTGACCCCACCTCTGGTCGTTCTAGCTTAAGTGAGCCTCCAGCAGTGCCCGAGGAGACCCACAGCCCTGACTTACAACATTAACCCATCCCTGTCCACCATACTGAGCATCACCTGGAACCCAGAAGTTGCTAGGCAACAACTAAAGGAGCGATGGTGCCTCCCGCCCCGTCCCTCTCCAGTCCACTTCCCACCCTCAGCCTCCTGTGAACCACGACCCTAGACCGCGGGATCCCTTAGAGTCCCCTGCCCTCTGCTGGTCCCAAGGGGAGGACTGCTGCAGGCACCTTCCTCCCATCTGCAAGATCTGTGCCTGGAACCCAGCAGCCTTCTGCTTCCCAGCTGCAGGGTTAATGGCCTGTGGGAAGACTTCAGAAGGCACGAAAGGAACCATGTCCTCATACTAGCCTTGCTGGCAAACCTCACCAAGGGAAGGGAGGTGGGCACAATGTCAGTCCTCAAGGAGCCTCCAGGCAAAGGCTGTGCCCACTCCTGAGCCCTGTCCTGTCCGGGACCTGGTCTCTGTCCGACTGAGAAAAGAATCCCTGTCTCTTAAGGACCAAATCTCCATCCAACTCCAGGCAACGATTTGCAAACTTTCTTCAGACCATGTTGAGGCAAAAGACCCTTTCTACTCACAGTCTATCTACCCATTTACCAAGACAACAAGAACAGCCTTCACCAGACTAGATGGGGAAAAGGAGTGACTTTGAGGAAATTTTAATAGAACAGGAGCAAATTCTGAACTCCATCTGGAAAAAGAATTGTCATTGTGTCAACAATGCAGCTGGGCTGGGGCAGACCATGGAGCATGGCAGGACTCCGTGCATCTGGGTGCTATCCGATGTCTGTCCTGAGCCCAGGCGCTCACTAGCCCTCTCCATGGTGTGCCCCATGCCCAACCTGCAGAACTCTGAATGCACCATGCATTCGTTCATCCAAGTGTGCATGTAGCTCCCAGAGGGTTGCATTTTGCCTTTGCTCTGGTTGTAAATGGCGGTTCAGCATCTGAACGCGGTAACAATAGTTCCTCCAGGCGCAGGAAAGCACTGCTCCGCGCCCTCCCCGAGGCCACACCCTCCCCGAGGCCACGCCCCCTCTCCCACGCCTGGCCCCTGCTTGCAGCTGTGCATCCTGGGCCCAGCTTGTAGGACGGGGTGTGACTGTGTGAGCGAAAAAGGGATGGGTGACGGGCAGGATGCTACCGCCCCGGCTGATTTACCCTTCTTTTCAGATCACCAGTGCTGCGGACTCAGAGGCTGTCACATTCCAGAAGCTGGTGAAGGGGCACGCATACTCGGTCACCGGAGCTGAGGAGGTAACACTCTGCATGGATTTTCAGAGGTCTCCCTACCACGATGGCCAAAAGCACGTTTTTGCCTGACTGCGCAGGGTGGGGCCCCCGCTTTGCCACAATTGTTTCTAAACAGACCTCACATTCCTGCAGCTCAAACACGACTCAATGGGCTGTCCCTTCCTGTCCCTTCCGGAGCCTCGGGCCTCCAGGTGCGCGCTGCCCTCTGGTGGTCGCAAGGTCCAGCTCCAGGTTTTAGAACTATCTTTTACTTTTCTGGACCAGCTAACAATAGAGAAACGATACTTTTCATCTGTACAGTGTTTTATACTCTTTAAGGTGCTTTCACATTTGATCTCATAAAAGCATTCATTCCCAAGTTACTGTTTAAATCTGCCTCTGCCTGTTGCCAGCTGTGTAGCCTGGGCAGCTTAAACTTTCTGCCCCTTAGTTCTCTCATTTGTAAGCTATATTATTAAGAAATAATAATATCCATTGTAAGGTCATTGTGATTCAATCAAGTTAATATATGTAAAGTACTCAGACTGTGCCAGACACATTGTATCTAAGTATGTAGATATACTTGCTGCTATTATTATTATAAATATTAATAAGCAGCCCAAGTTCACTGTTAATTACAAAACCCAGACTAGACCCCAAGTCTTCTAATATGCCCAGTCTTTCCCCTTTTTTTTTAAACCTTGAATTTTTGTTTTATTCTGCCCCACACACACATCTTTTTATTTTGAAAAAATTCAGGTCTATAGAAAAGTTGAAAGAATAGTATAGTAAACATACAAATGCTATTTGCCTAGATTCAACAATTGTTAACATTTTGCCACCTCTATTTTATGGCTCTTTGTGGGGATACTTTTTTTCTGAGCCGTTTGAAAGTAACCTGCAGATGTCACGACCCTTCTCTTCTCTTACATAATCCCGGTGCTCTCGGCAGGCCAAGAAAATAAACATTAATTCAATAACATCACCTAATATATATAGTCCATATTTATATTTTCCCAATTACCCCAAAATATTCTTTATATCGCCCCCTCCCCAGTCCAGGGTTCCATCCAGATTTGTGCCCTGCATTTACCTGTTATCCACCAGTGTTCTTTCAACAGGTGGTAAAGCTTCCCTGAACTCCTGTGACAAAAGTACATCCTATTACAGTCAAAGCAAGGTTCAGAGGTAGAGCGCCACCCCACGGAGTCTAGAATAAATGCATTTGTGCCTCAGGCTCATGACAGAAGTTGAAGAGCCTAAGTCCTCCATGGGTTGGGTCCTGGGAGCCGCCAAAGCTGGGCAGCAGCAGGGGTCTCCTTTTATGACCCTCCTCTTATAACATGGACTCATCAACCCCCTTGGCTCATGGAGAAGGCAGCTCTGGGCCCCAGAACCTCCAGGCCTGGCTTGAATTCAACACCTCTGTCCCTTCCTGCAGGTTGAAAGTAGAGGAAGTCTACAGAAACTGATCCGCATCCGGAATCCCTGGGGAGAGGTGGAGTGGACCGGGAAGTGGAATGACAAGTGAGGAGGACGCAGCCGGGGGACCTGGGGGTGGGGGGACCAGTGCATCCTGCTAGGAGGCTCCGGGAAATGAAGAGAGGGGAAAGCATGGTGTGCTGTGCTGAGGAAGAAGCCCTGAGTGCACAGGCCACACCAAGTGGGACCCATGGGGCAGGTGGCCCCGCTCAGACTCTCAACCAGCAGGTTCCAGCATCGGCGCCTTTTGACAAGGCCCATTCCTTCCATCCCCTCGTGGTTGATCCTTCCCAAGCTCTTGTTCAGTTCCAAGGACGTGACCTTTGTGCCTAAGACCCAAGAGAAGTCCCTCTGCCAATTTCTGGGGCTTCCTGGTAGCCCTGTTATACCCACGACTGGTTGGCGTAAACTCTCCCGTGAGCCCCCTCTTGGGGTCTTCTCCATCTCCTCTACCCCCCCAGCACCTACAGTTCTGCCGCCTTTTCCCTGGCCCACTCCCAGGCAGAGACATGGCGGAGACACCCCAGCCAGGGCAGCAGCAGAGGCCAAAAGGAGCAGCTCCCCACCAGATTTTCAGTTGTCTCTTAAAACAGCTGCCAGGCCCGTCTCCGTTTGGGCAGTGGTGCTCCATTTCTCCAATGGGCTGTGATTGTTCTGGACTCGTCCTGTCTTCCAGGATGGCACGTCCTCTCACCTTGCTCCCCTGTACCTCTTAGCCACACGCATGTGACTCCCCTCCCTTCCTGGGGTCTGGGCCCTCAGAGGCGAGAAAGCGTGTCCCTGACCCTCAGCTTTGGGTCAGGCTTTGGGAGGAGTCATCACCCTACATTAGTTTCTGATGCCTCGCCCATGACTTGGTTTTCCAGCTGCCCAAACTGGAACACTATCGACCCAGAGGTGAAAGAAAGGCTGACCAGACGGCACGAAGATGGAGAATTCTGGTAAGATTACTCAGGGAAAGAGGTGTCTGCCCGCCCCCACCCCCGTGATCTTTACTAGAACATTAGTGAGAGTATCGTGTCAAAAGCCCAGGGACAAGGGATCCGGGTTTTGTTGTTTTAAATTTACTGTTAAGACCCTGAACCAAAACCTGCTTAAACCTCTTCGATTTGTCCGCCTCCGCAATGGGGTTTAAGAGCTGAGCGGCTTCCCAGTGAAGGCGAAGAGGCATTCCTGGAGTCAGGCTCAAGAGGAAACAGGGAAAAGACGGGCCTTTCTCCCAACCAGTTGCTGGGGATTCATCCCAGCGCTCTAAGAAACAGGCCCCTTAGAGTGTGAGATGGACCCACGTGTGTGTGCGTCTGTGCTACTTGGTGACCACCTCCATCTGCAGACCACGGGCCATTTACCGAATGAGTGCCCGTATGTGTTCTCCTTTCATACTCAAGGCTCCCATTTTCACAGGTGACACTTCTGAGCTTCCAAGAGCTTTAAGTAACTTGCTCAAAGTCACCCAGCTGGAAGTGGCAGCGCCAGGACTGGACCTGTGCCTTCTGATTGTGACCTGGTGGCCATTTGGCCCCAAGGTGCTGTCTCCTGGCTGTTCTGCCCGGCCTTGGTCAAAGCTTATCAATGTGCCCTCTTGTAACCTGGACGCCCATGTCCCTGCTTTTGCCAGGATGTCTTTCAGTGACTTCCTGAGGCACTATTCCCGCCTGGAGATCTGCAACCTGACCCCAGACACCCTCACCAGTGAGACCTACAAGAAGTGGAAACTCACCAAGATGGATGGGAACTGGAGGCGGGGCTCCACCGCAGGAGGCTGCAGGAACTACCCGAGTAAGGCCACCAGAGGCCAAGGGCACCTCTCACCCTACCCTGATGTGCCACACGCCAGCCTGGCAGCCCAGAGGAGGCAGCTGCTACCCACTGGGACCCTCTGCCTCCCTTCTGCCCGAGTCTCCATCTCAACACCTTCTCCATTTTCTCATCCCCATCGCTCTGCACTCACCTGCCTCCCCTCCCCATGAAGCCAAGCCTGGCTATTCCTGTGATGTCCCCTCCGGGCCCCAGGTCCCCTGTACCTGTGGCCTTCCGCCCTGCCCACTGAGACAGTGCTCAGTCCCCTTCATGCCTGGGGGCTACTTTATCTACCCTGAGCCCAAGCTGCCCAGGCCTGCCAAGGAACCTCACCCACCGGGCCTGCATACCCAGGCCCTAGCTGTTGCCCAGCAACCCTCTGGCGCGCAGTTTACTCAGCAGATGTTGACGGGGCCCTGCTCAGGTGGGTGAGGACTTCTCTAGTCCATCCTCCATGGACTCCCCTGACTCTTCCGCCTGGATGGCCCAGTCCTCCCCTACCCTCTCCCCTGCAGAAATTATCTAATCATGATGACGTGCCAATTATGGAGTACACATTGGGTGCTAGGAACCGTGTATGTGGTTTATATATATTATTCCATGTAATTTTCACAACAAACTTCGGAGACAGGCACATTACTATCATCTCCATCTTTAAGATGAGGGGACTGAGGCTGGGTGAGGTGAAGTGACTTGCCCAAGGCCACAGAGCTTACTGGGATTTGAACCCAGGCTGTCTGACTGAAGTCAGTGTTTTAAGTACTATGGTGGCAGGTCATGGTCATATGTTGATTCTGTTGCCGATGAGGAAACTACAGCCCTGAGAGACATAAATGGGCCACAAAGCAAGTAGTCAGACTGGCACTAGCTGACCGGTACCTCTATCTCTGGTGTTTTTAATCCTTTATCTCAAGTATACAGCCGCCAAGTGGCATTTCTAGAGGTGCTGGGAAGCCCCTGTGCCCCCAACAAAACTATCTCTACCCGCTTGCTCAGGGACCACAAATTCTCTAAAAGAGCCAGATAATAAGTACTTTTAGCTTTGTGGGCCAGTCTCTATGGCAACTACTCAACTGTACTGCTGTAGTCTGAAGGCAGCCATACTTAAACGAATGGACATGACTGTGTTCCAATAAAACGTTACGTACAAAAACAATCCGCCAGCAGCCTGCAAAGCCGGAGTCTGCCAACCCCTGCACTAGATGCTGCCTTTGTTTACACAATCAGAGTTTTATTCCATTAGGTTAGGGAAGGCGATCGGCATAATTATCCTCAAACACGAATCAATCTCAAGTTCTTCCTGTAAATGGGTTTTGGAAGTGGGGAAGGCAGAGATACCAGGGGGTGGGCAAGGGGACAGGCCTGGGAGGACAAGGGACCCAGAATAAGGGGCTAAAATTGTGTGCAGGATGTTCCTGGCCTCTGGGTTCACTGAGGGGGAAAAAGGGGAGAGTCTCCCGGTCTCCTCAGCCAGGCCACTAGGCCCATCTCTGACCGCTGCATTAGAGCCCATGACGGGGCAGGTACCACAAGCAAGGCCACAGCTCTAACCACCCTGCTCCAGGGTGACAAAACGATCTCCAAGACAAGCCGGCCTGTGGGCAAGGGAGAGAGAACCGCACAAGTTTCTCATTTAAGTCCCTATGAGATTCAGACACAGGCAGGACATCCTCTCTCCACAGCCCACCATCGCCTGCTCCCACCCTGACGGGCTGCTAACTAGTCCCGCCTTGCCTCTGGTTCCTCTGCCCCAGGGTCTCCTGCCATCTCCCCCACCTTCACCCCTTCGTCCTCAGAGGCCAAGAGAGCTGCTCCTCCCCCGTGCCACCTGCTCAGGGCTGGGCTCCCGTGTCCTGGGTGACTGACCCCAGCCCCTCTCTGGCCACAGATACTTTCTGGATGAACCCTCAGTACCTGATCAAGCTGGACGAGGAGGACGAGGACCAGGAGGATGGGGAGAACGGCTGCACCTTCCTGGTCGGCCTCATCCAGAAGCACCGGCGACGCCAGAGGAAGATGGGCGAGGACATGCACACCATCGGCTTTGGCATCTACGAGGTGAGGGAGGGCCGCGGCCCCCGCCTTCCCGTCCTCTGCTCGTCTCAGTCCCTGCGAGGAAGGCCAACGCCAGAGGCAGCACTGGAGAGGGGACCCCGGACGGGGAGCTTGGCCAAGGAAAAGTAAAGCCACCAGGAGGTCCCTGCCGCTCTGTGTGTCACCAGGAGGGTCTAAGCCCTTGGCTGGGCCCTCATAGCCTGCTTCCTGGGAGTTCCACTCTTTCAAAGCCCTCATGTCCTTCCTCATGTCCCCCAGGTTGGCACTCTGGTTGGCCCACCAACCTCCCAAAACAGAGGTGACTTAAGCTGAGAACAAAGTATACTGGACCACACCAGGAAATACTGTGAGGGCAGGACCGAGCCAGCCGTCCAGCTGTCAGAGCTCAGCAAATTCACTGGCCGGGAAGGTAGAGAGCTCAGGACAGGGAAAAACAGTCTTTATGTACCCCCAGGGCTCTGCTGGCTAGAGCCCTGCTCCCCATAAACACGCTCACTGCCCTCATGACCTTCTTTCTTTCTGTATCACATTAAAGAAAAGCCCAGCTCAGCCGCAGTCAGACGGCAGTCATGTTACTGCCCCCTGTCCCCTCCGGGGCGAGGGCAGAGAGAACTGACCCAATGTGCTGGACCCCTGGACCCCAGCACAGAAAGAGCTTCTCACTGCCTTGGGTTTGTAGAGAGGAGAGGGGAGCAAGGAAGACGTCAGAGCAGCTGAAGTGGGGGTGATGGCTGGAACCCAGTGATGTGGCGGAACCAGCTCCCAAAAGCCAAATGTGCCCATCTCTTCCCAGCCCCATATCCGGTGCGGCCACGGTGGCAGCCTGAAAGTGGCTATGACGGGAGGGGTGTACATACACCATGGAAATTAGCAAATACTGTAAGTCAGGGCTCCCACCCTCCCCCGAGAGCCATTTCCCAGCACAGCACTGGCAGACGGCAGACATGGTGTCCGGGGACAAGACCCTCTGGGCTCACTCATCACTGGCAATGTGGCCGCCACCAGTGGAACCCTGACCCACCAGTTTACCCACCAAGCAACGGACGTGGGCAAACACCTCCAGTTCACAAAATGCACAGAACACCAAGCTCCTCAGACTCTGAAATAGCTGAGGACAAAATAGCCCCAAGGACAATGCAAACTGAATTGTGACACAGCCTCCCCCGGCCCACCCCATACCTCTTGGGCTTAGAGAGCCAGTCATGGGCTTTCACAGCTGGGAAGGACCTGGGTGATCGTTTGGTCCCATTTTAGAGACAGGGAAACTGAGGCCAGAAAAGGGAAGTGACTTGCCCATGGAAATACAGGCTGGATGTGGCCTACAAGCCTCGAACTGATGCCTGTTGGCTCCTAGCCCAGAGTGCGCCCGCCCGGCTGGGCTGCCTCCTCCGACCACACGGCCCTGCTTTCCTTGGTGGGAGGCAGGGAATGGGCTTTGCTGCACTGGCTAGGTGACCTTAGGCAAGTCCCTTCACAGCTCCGGTACTCACTTTTATGCTTTATAAATCAGGAATGGTGCTAAGCTCATCCATCTTGATGCCAGGTCATAAGATTTTTTTTTTTTAATGTGGGAATTGCTTTGAGTTCCTTGGAAAATAATGACTATGTTGATGCAGTTAATAGTACTGAGGCGACAGAGAAAGGGGAAAGCAAAGGAGACGAATCACAGTGATGGTATTTCTGTACGCAGCTTTCCCAGGACCGGAATTAAGCGTGTTCTCCTTTATCTTTGCAGGTTCCGCAGGAGGTACGTCTGGCATGCATCAGCCCGTCCCTGGGGCTCACCAACAAGTAAAAGGGTTAGACTGTCAGCTCAGGGGTTTTGTGAAGCAGGGGCAGGGGCTGGTGGCTGGGAAGGACGAGTCCAGGCCTCTCTGGGGACCTGCTCCAGTCCTAGATCCCGCTGGTGTGAGCTCGGGGCAAAGGATCTTGGGCCATCCCTGTGGGGCCCATTGTCTCCCCCGAGGCCCAGCAGAGACCATCGGTGGCTTCGTTCTGGGTGGACCCTCTGTAGTCTGGGAATGCAAGAGGCTCCTCATTGAGTCCTGTAGCACTCTGAAAACAAGCCTGAAGGGAAAAGGTAAACCCTGCAGACTGTTATAAGACAATGTGGCAGCACAGAAAGAGGCCTGGACCCAAGTCCCAGCTCTGCCATTTGCAGGCTGTGCGACCCTAGACACATGACGGGTCCGCTCTGGACTTAAGTTTCTCTTTCCGTAAAACTGGTCACCTTGCCGGAATGTTGTGGGGATGGATTGAATTAGCGAGAGCACGTAGTAGGCCTGCAGCGAACAGTGACTATCTGATGAGATGCATGGTAGCTGTGTGTGTCTTCAAAGGTCACGGTCACGCCAGTGGACACACAGGGCACCCTGACCCCCAGCAATCACTTCTGAAATAGCGAGGCAGTGAGGGTGGTGGCATTAGGGGCTGTGCAGACTGACCACACCTGGTCTAGAGGCTGGACCCCTTCCACGCCCTGTCTGCTTTTATCGGTGAATCATACACCACGTGGAACTGAGCCAGCTTCCTGCCGTGTGGACACTGAGCATCTCTGAGAGTCACTTAGAGGAGGGCTGAGGACCTCTGTGTGGGGGGCTGGCCTTTCTGTAGACAGAGCGGCTGAGTGTGGGACCCCCTGCTGCATGTGCCTCTGAGTTCCTCACTGGGCGTCTGTCGTTCACTGGGCATCCGTCGTTTCGGTAGAAAGTTTGCTTTTTATCTAAAATGATGCAGACATTGTTGCTGCCATCCTCGTCTCTCCATGAGTGAGAACAACACTGGTGAGGAGCCCGTTCCGCCCTCAACTCCCACGTGTGTCTGTTTATCCCTCAGTTCAGTGGGCAGACCAACATCCACCTCAGCAAAAACTTCTTCCTGACGCACAGAGCGCGGGAGCGCTCGGACACCTACATCAACCTACGGGAGGTGCTCAACCGCTTCAAGCTGCCGCCCGGGGAGTACATCCTCGTGCCTTCCACCTTTGAACCCAACAAGGATGGGGATTTCTGCGTCCGGGTCTTTTCCGAGAAGAAAGCTGACTACCAGTAAGTAGGTCTCTTTGCCCTTCCTCTCCCTCACCCCTTATTCCCATCGCTGGCCTGTTCCTGACCCACGCACAGCACTTGACTCTCTGAATGTCAGTTTCTTTTCCTGTGATACCTGCCTGCCTCGAAGCATTGGTGTGGGTGGGGGTTTGCTGTATTGAAGAACTTTTGTGTTACACGCAGGTAAGCAAAGGAAATAGCACTCAGGATACTTTGGGTTAGAAAGGGGTGGCAGTAGAGCAAATTGCAGAATCTAATTTCACCGAACAATCAAGTTGTTTTCATTTTAATGGCCAGTGTTAGATGAGCTATGAACCCAGTCCCCTCATTTGGAGAAGGCTAGGAAGGCTCAACCCCCTCAATTTCCCTGCTCTGCCCACCCTGACCCTCGAGGTGTCTGACTTCCTTGTCCCCGGATAGTAATCCTGATTCTAACTGTCAGCACCAAGAGGTCCCTTATCCTTTCTTCTGTGAGGCACAGCTGCTGCAGATAGGACTGCTGGTGGCCTGGCTTAAGACCCTAGAGGGCCTGAGGAAGAGCCTTCGAAGCTTAAGCCCTTACTGTGGAGCAGGAGGACCCAGCCCTACACCTAGGACAGTGCACGGGACAAACTGACCACTGCCCAGGCGCCAGCTGGAATTCACACACAGGCCCCCGTGCCACCTGCCTTCTTGATCCCCAAGCGGGACAAGCAGGCAGCGGTGGACGTCATGTGATTCTCGGTATGAAAGGTTTACGATGGCAAAGAGTGTTTCGAGTAGAGCGGAGGAAAGGCTCCTCGAGGCCCAGACGTGAATGAGTTGTCTAGAGTCCCAGCACCACACGACAGGCCAGGCTGCGCTAATGACCCAAAACTAGCAAACACACAAACATCTTTGACCCTCCAAGTTGTGGGGGCCATGGCTCTTCCTTGGATCATTTTTTTTTTTTAAAGACTTCTATTGGGGAATTGGGGGATGGGAACAGACAAGTTGCTGTCCTTTTATTCTTCAGTCTAGTTGTGGAGGACGTTGCTTCACTGGCCCAAGTTGGCACCATCATTGCGCTCTTCCCGGGTGAGGCAGATCAGTC